CACACTCACTCACACACTCACTCACTCACTCTCACACTCACACACTCACTCACACATTCTCACACACACACTCACACATTCTCACACACTCACTCACACTCTCTCACACTCTCACACACACACTCACACACACTCTCACACACGCACTCTCACACACACTCACACTCACTCACACACTCACTCACGCACACACACACTCACACACTCACTCACACACACACACTCTCTCTCTCTCTCTCTCTCTCTCTCTCTCTCTCTCTCTCTCTCTCTCTCTCTCTCTCTCTCTCTCTCTCTCTCTCTCTCTCTCTCTCTCTCTCTCTCTCTCTCTCTCTCTCTCTCTCTCTCTCTCTCTCTCTCTCTCTCTCTCTCTCTCTCTCTCTCTCTCTCTCTCTCTCTCTCTCTCACACACACACACTCTCTCTCACTCACACACTCACTCACACACTCACACACTCTCTCTCACACACACTCACTCACTCACTCACTCCCACACACTCTCACACACTCACACACACACTCACTCACACTCACACACACACTCACTCACTCACACACACACTCACTCACACACACACACACACACACACACACACTCACTCACACTCACTCACACACACACACACACACACACACACACACTCTCTCACACTCACTCACACACTCTCTCACACACATTCTCACACTCACTCACACACACACACTCACTCACTCTCACACACTCACACACACACACACACACACACACTCTCTCACACTCACTCACACACTCTCTCACACACATTCTCACACTCACTCACACACACACACTCACTCACTCTCACACACTCACACACACACACACACACACACACACACACACACTCACTCACACACACTCACACACACTCTCACTCACTCACACACACACACACACACACACACACACACTCACTCTCTCACTCTCACACACACTCTCACACTCACTCACTCACTCACACTCTCTCTCTCTCACACACTCACACACACACACACACACACACACACACGCAGACGGATACTTCTCAAACTGTTGCGGCAAAATCTGCAGTAATTACTTAAATTAACTTTAAAATCCAAAACCATTCAAATTGTGAGACTGTTCTTTGTTGAAATTATTTTTTGAAAAGTAGTGTCGTCAAATTTTCTGTTATTTACCTTGTGTGATTTTAAAAAAAAAATGTAAGTGCATTATTTGCAGTTCTGGGTTTATTATTTACAAACCAGTCCGTTACTGATTATAAATTACATTACGGAAATTATAGTTTGTAAAATAATCTATTGGATTACACATATTAGATAATGTATTCTGAACAATTTTTGATTACTTTTGATCTAAAATATATTCCATTCTTTGTCAGCATCGTGACGTACTAAACATTACATTATGCCAGTGTTTCTCAAACTGAGCTTCGTGCATGAACTACAGGGGGTTTGTGACTAGATGAAAAGCCTCCAATCTATAAAAGTGGTAGAATATTAGAGAGGAAAAAAAGATTTAGGAAAAATCTAATTATGAATATTTGAATGCCATTGTGTGAATATGTAATCATGTAATCTATGAAAAAGTAACTGTACTCTGATTATGAGCATTTTATAATAAAATAGTCTAATTACAAGTACTGAATTTGTGGAATCTGATAACGTAATCCAGATTACATGTGATCAGTTACTAGCCAGCACTGATTATTTAATCTATGTTTATATTACTTGTATTATCTGGCATTGTGAAGTACAGCTGGGATCTGTAATTAATTTGGACTTCGTGGTAAATCATGGTAAAATACAAATATATGAAGACATTGAGCAGAAGCAGCTTTATGAGTAGTTTAGATTAGTTTAGCTGAATGTGGGCTTCACTTCAGCTCAACACGCATTCTTATCGTTTCATTTTCTTTTTTGATGTGATTTTTTGGCATTCGGTGAAAAGACCTTCATGTTGATCAGATGTTTAGAAATAAACTGTTTGTAGAGTGAATGGTCTTCGGTCGGTCGAGCATCTGCCTTTTATTTTGGCTTGTTTTCCCGTTCTCACACGTTTCTCTGTAATGACTGGTTGTGATTGGTCATCTAATGACTGTAAACTGTATGATTGTCTTTGTCTCAGTCAAGCATCGTTAGCATTAGAGGTGGTTTATTCTCATGTGCAAAATGAGAAATAAAAGAGCAAATATTGCTAATATTCTAAATATATCAAGCTGAAGTTGTTGATGATTTCACAAACAGATGATAGTGATTGCAGTGTGTGATGACCCGAGCTGATCATCGTGTGTGTGTGTGTGTGTGTCGCAGGGAGCAGCCGATCTTCACCACCAGAGCTCATGTCTTCCAGATCGATCCCACCACTAAGAAGAACTGGGTTCCTGCCAGCAAACAGGCTGTTACCGTCTCGTACTTCAATGACAGCACACGCAACAGCTACCGCATCATCAGCGTGGACGGGTCAAAGGTCAGACTTGTGTGTGTGTGTGTGTGTGTGTGTGTGATGGTTGCAAGTGTAAGTGTCTGCTGATGCTGCTATCCACAGTTTGAGTGCTCACACATACACACACACACACTGAGGGTCTTCCTCTGCAGAGGGTTTATGGTTCATGTTGCCATGGAGATTTGGATCAGTCCCTCAGTGTGGAGGCGGCAGTGATGATGTCACAGCGCAGCCCTGCTGAGAGTCACACACACACACACACACACCTGCTGCTGTCACTCTCTGAGAGCAGATAGATGAAGACTCACGCTCACATTAGTGTGTTAGTAGTAGACAGACACACACACCTGCTGCTGTCACTTTGACAGCACGCACACACACACACACATGTTGAGGTTAAATGGCTGGCCGAACACACACGTGTTACTCTGATCATTTTCAAGAGTCACACAGAATACATTGAATCGCTGAAGAAATGAGGTCAAGTACACAGAATGCATAGC